ATTATATTATAAAATATATGTTAAACATATGTCAAACATATGGCCCCCGGGCCGTATGTTTGACACCTCTGCTCTAACAGCACAAAAACACATTTTCAAGAAATGCAATAAATGACCACCACAAAAAACTCCTCAGGTCATTACTACAAAAAAAATCAGCAAAGGAATGATTAAAAGTAGTGATGTCCGATAATATCGGCCGATATTAGCATAATTATGGAATATCAGTAGGAATCGTTATCGTTTTTTCCGTAATAAAACGTAAACATAATTTTGCCAGATTTACACATTTATTTTGTGTAGCCAATGCCAGAAATTTGTGGAGTATCACAATATAAGTAGGTATTGTGTTTGGACAATATCGGCATATTAGATATCGGCAAAAAGTCAATATCGGACATCGCTAATTAACAGGCATCACGAAGTACATCAGGTACTAACATGTCTTACTTGTGCCAGGGTATCAGGGTCCAGAGCTCTTGATCGTAAGGTGTCACTGAAGCTATGCTGCCCGCTGCTGGAGCGTCTGATGGGCGTGTCCTCGGGCCTCCTCAGAGAGTCGTGGCGACTTACCGTCATGGTCACAGCGGCTGCCGAGCGCCGGTGGCGCTCAGGGCTGTCTAAGGGCGGCGTAAGACCCGGGCCACGTCCCAGCAGCAGCTCCCGGGGACTAAAATGACCCGTCACAGGGGGAGAGCCTCGATCCATCCCGCTGTTGTTGCCATGGTTGTCGTTCGAGCGCCCCAGAGGGCGACGGAAGAAAACATCTGTGCGCTTCCTCCTGTGACTGAGATGAGGCACAAAAACACCTGTTGGTGGACCCTGATCACTACAGCAAACTCGCCCTGATCTAACCTCTCAGATCTCTAAAGGTATCAAAGCATCTCTGCAGAGCTTTTCCAATAAAAGGAGTGTTTCTTACATGACAGACCTGTTGTAGATCTCCGCAGGTCTGATGTCAGTCGGGGAGCTCAGCTCGCTTCTGGAGCGTTTGTCATCGGTGCTGCTGCTGCCGCCGTCGCTGTCCGCCTTCTGGCTGAGCGTGTCGGACAGAGAGTCAGTCCTGAAAACGTAGTACATCAGAAAAACACTGGCTTACCAAGAAACAATGATTATTCGATGGGAAGCTTGTGTTTTTGTAAGCACTCGAAAAATCAGTGACATTAGCTAGCTTGACCTTAGCAGTTGCTAATCCACTGAATTTAATCGTTTTTGTGACTTCACTGTTCAAAATCTTTTGCTTCCTTTTTTTTTTTTTTAAAAAAATCGCTGACCACAAGAGGCAGCAGAAGACCAACAGCTGCCAAACTAAAATCACTGATGCGTTTTTTTTTTAAAAGCAGGATAAAACCAAATGTTGTAACTTACATGTCATCGCGACTCAGCGCTCTTCGGTCTTTCACCACGATGTACTGATGTGGGATCAGGCCGCGGCTGCCGTTGTGACGTCCCTCCCACCAGTCGTGTGACGCCCGCTGAAATAGCTGCAGCGACGCTCCCTTTTTGAAGGAGAGCTCACGACCAGTGCGGCCGACATAGTCAAACCTGGCCACCGCCTCTATTGCCTCACCCTCTGTCATCAAGGACGACAGAGAAAGAAGTGTGAGAACAGTGGAAACTTGAACTCATCACTTTCTGAAGTTTTGTTCAACACTGATGAACAACAATATTGTGGGTTATTATAGAACCAAAGTGGTGGATGGATTGTAAAGAAGAATACAGGGTGGTTGGGAGGAGTGTGTGTGACTCCCCAGAGCTACAGTTGCCATGGCGACACTTCTTTCTCTACATACAGCAGCATCAGTGTGTCAGCGTTTGTGTAAAAGTCAGAGGTCACGACCTACCCTCCTCACTGGTCTGAGTCTCAGTGCCAGCGTCAGGCTCCGTTTCCTCCAGCGGTCCGGGTTCACTGAATGGACTCTCGCTGTCAGAAAAGAAACAAGGGACAGACTTATTACTCACTTTAAGACTGCTGACATTTGCACTGCCTTTGTGGTTTTAGAGCATGGGTGTCAAGCCCGTCCCCACCGGGGGGCCACATCAGCAATAGAGTTAAAGATGCTAAGATAAGGTGCAGGATATGTATAAGGCCAGCGAGACAGGGGTTAGATGTGCAGTCAGATTGGCAGATGGGTTCAAGCTAAGGTTGGTGCGTTGCTAAAAAAAAAAAAATTAAAATACATTTTGTGGCACAGAAGTATGTGAGGGTGGTGCAGGATATGTATAAGGCCAGCGAGACAGGGGTTAGATGTGCAGTCAGATTGGCAGATGGGTTCAAGGTAAGGTTGGTGCGTCGCTAAAACAAATTTAAAATACATTTCAAATTTAGAAAATCCTGAAATTAAATTGTTATGGATATCTAGTCAAAGGACAGATGTTGGGGGTTCACAGGTTGGACATGGAGTTTTATATCCTAAAAAGAAGGTGAATGAAAGTCAGGAGAAGCGAGACTAGAATATGTGTTTAAATGAGAGTGATGATAATGGCTAGGCTAACCATGATGGGGATGCTGATGACAATGAAAGGAATGGTCATTATAATGATTATGATGATGAAGACGATAATGACGACGGAGATGACGTGTGATGATATATGCTGATGATATAAAAATACACACATATACTGATGAAGACGATAATGACGACGGAGAGTGATGATATATGCTGATGATACACACTTATTCTGTATATAAAAACTGCTGTCATTTGATCCAAAACAGAAACAATGTACAACACATTGATCCAAAACAGAAACAATGTACAACAACACACGCAGAATATATTATGAAAACAAGTGTGTGTACTCTGACTCACCAGTACTGTTCTCCAGTCATACACTTCTCATACACTGGACCAGGCAGCTCCTTTGTGTCCGGAAAGATATTATCATGGTGTAAGATGACCGTCTTTACCACCTCGTTGACGTGAGCCTGACAGGCCACCTGGTCCAGAGTGTCAGGGGTCGGCAGCAGCGTTGGCCCAAAGACAATGGCCAGGTTTCCAGCGTCCATCATGTTCTCATCACTGTACTGAGACAGGCTGTGGTGGTCGAGGAGGGAGGGAGAGGGGGGCACAATTTAATATCAAACGACTCACTTGAGTATTGTTCATACTGTCCAAAAACCTACTGAAACTCTGCCTAAAATTTTAACTATTTTACGTCAAACAACTTTGCAATACATGGTTATCTCGCTTTGCGATGTCCTCGACTTTTCATGGTTACGTCCCCGTCTCTGATAAATTCATTAAGAAAGTCTTCTTGCAGCATTCCGACACATATCGTAAAAATACATTTTCCAGTGGGAACTAGTTGGAGAGTGAAGCGGACGATTGTGTCATCACGCAGCGCTATATGTGGGGGACGACTTTCTTAACATTCACCACTTGTACACCGTGTGACAGATTGTGCTACAATAACTTTCTTTCGTTGGTGTTGTTTTTTTGGGGAATTCCTTGCCCTTCGTTATGGCTGCCAGGTGTAATACAGACTCTCCTGATGTTTTTATGTCCTAGACCAGTGGTTCTCCAACTTTTTCTACTCTGTACCACCTGAGACAACACTGATCTCTCTGAGTACCACCATGATGACCAACATTAGAATATAGCAGCAGAGGCCTTCCCTGTTAGGTTGCACCACAGGAGAGAGGTTTATGAATGTTTATAAGGATGTTTATGTTTAAATGTTGTATTAATTGTGCATGGTATGGTTCAGATTAATTTAATTTAATTTAAATGTAAATGTGAAAATGTGAATTTTCACCTCGTACCACTAGAGAGCACTCTCGTACCACTGGTGGTACACATACCACAGTTTGAGAACCACTGTCCTAGACTATGATGTTACTGCACAATATGTACAGTATTGTATTTTAACATTTTAATAACTGTATCTGCCATTGATTAATCAAATCATAGGCTCTCCATGCAGCGAGACAGAGAGAGAGGGACAGGGAAATCTAAAGGTGTTTGCTGGTTGAAAATCCTATCCCTCACTTCAATGTGAAACAGATAAAAACAACACACAAAAAAAACAGCTCAGTGATTTGGATGTGTTTTCTCTCACACCTCGCCTCACATTTCCTGTCTCTACATCCTCACACTATCAGATTCTCAGAGACTAAAATTCGATCTGGAAGTCAAACAAACACTGTGTGCTTCAACTCACTGGTTGAGGAAGGCGAACAGATACCGCATCACCACCAGCGTTGGTCTCTGGACGCCCAGCAGAATCTTACGAATGCACTGAGCTCGTTCATAAAGGTTTTCTATCCCTGCAGAAAAGAACACAATAAAGAATTACAATAAACTTCGACAAAACCAGAATCACTTCATCAGGTATTATTTTTTTTATCATTAGGACATTAATCTTTAAGTGATTTCATTTAATCTTGTAATGATCATATTTAATAAATTTATCAAGTGGGTTGGATTGAACCCAGCAGCGTCCCTGATTCATCAAGTGGGTTGGATTGAACCCAGCAGTGGGCCTGATTTGGCCTGTGGGCCGTGTGTTTGACACCATAACCTTAAATAGTCTTAAATGTTCAATGTAACATTTTGATATGAAAACACTGGTGTTATTTAAAAAATGAAAAAATAATTCTATTATAAAACATCAAATTACATATTTATTGATTAAACAGCAGGATAAAGATATTTGTTTTGACTCACGGACACAGGAAATGAGGTCATCAAAACGTTCCTGGGGGAACAGAGGGTTCTCCAAACCTCTGAAGTAGAGTTTCAAAACTCCTGCCACCGAGTTGATGTCGTGGTTACTCTCCTCATCGATCAGTGGGTCGTTTCCTGATCGCCAGACAGAACATATCGTACCCAACATTAACCCTTCGAGCACCCATCCCTGTTCACCTTCAACGGGTAAAACATCTCACCTCTTTCAAAGCAGTTCTTAATGTCGTTGACCTCAACCTGGGACCCTGACACACGGAAGATGCCCTGATGCTGAAGTCCTGTTTAACAAAAAAGAAAGTTTTAGTTTAGTTAGAGTTTATATTGTACTCCGTGGGGTTCCTCAGGGCTCTGTGTGTGATACACTACACTGTAAAGAAAAGAGCAGATTTTGACTAACTTGTCGTACTAAATTATTTACTTTATGCTAATTTTCCAATTTTTGAAACAGGCTAACATTTTTATTGAGGTATATGGTACATAGATATTGTGTAAATTTAAGCTAAAATATACCCAATACATTAAATATTAAAAAAAACAACATCTTAGATTTGATTAGCACACACCAAAATCGTGATAACAACAAATAAAAGCGTGAAATTATTTTGTTAATTTATTATATCAGAGATGTATCTGACCGTGCAGGTTTACGTAGCGGATGCAACTCTCCACCAGTAAAGGTATGGCTTTGGTTGAATCCTGTGGACACATATATTTGTTATGGACAGTAATCACTCTGTAATGCTTTGGTTGAATCCTGTGGACACATATGTTTGTTATGGACAGTAATCACTCAGACTGGTGATTAAAGACCGCATTAGGACTAAAACTGTACCTGGTGTTTGCTGTGTGAATTTTTCCTTCCACGACTGTAACGACAAGAAAAATTCTCCTTAATGATTTTCAGTGATAACATAATGAAAAAAAAAGAAAATGAAAGGAGGCCTTTACCTTGTTGTCAGGAGTTCAGCTTTGTAACCTGAAAAAAAAAAATCAAATGTCAGGAATCTTTTTTTAAATTAATTTTTTCCATGAAAGAAAGAGTTTCTGTTCATCTCACCTTCAGCTAAGGCTTTTTTCAGGATGTCATGTTTGGCCTGGAGTTTGGAGATGAGAGTACTTCCCTCCAGATACTCACGGAATTTCTGTGAAATCATAAAGACAAGAATAATAATGTTCTAAATCTGTATTTTCTTTATTCGATGGAGAATTGCAAATGTCTATTTGTATTTGCTGACGTTAAAGTAAAAGAGCTCGGTCTCATGCTGATTGGCTCGTTTCTTGGCCAGACTGGGTTTGTTAAGGTAACCGTCTGACACACTGGACTTGACCGACTCTGAGGACGGACTGTGGGTGAAGCTCTGGGAGACGTCGTAGTCCTCCAACACCGTCATGTCCTGCAGAGTGGTCAGTGTTGCCCCCCAGGTCTTCTTCACCTGCATAACAAATACAAGTGTGTGTCGGTAGATTTTGTGAATAATTACTGCATTTGACGTATGAGCGAAATACGATTACTCCGCCGCCCAAACTGGAGTCTCACCTCCTCATTTTCAATCTTCAGTGAAGCCAGACGAGTCTGCAACTGTGTGAGCCGAAGACTGAGCTCAGCCTGTACCTGAGTCTGGGACGCAATCTGGGTCACCTGAAAAGAAGTGAACCAACCACAAAGACTCAGAGACTGCAGACAAATCCTCATTTTGATACAATGCTGACTGATGGATGCACTAACTTCATCGCCCATGTGGGCCTGAAAGTTAAAGCGTGATGGTGGACAGAAGGCTGTTGGGTAAAGACCCAGAAGACGTTGACGGTCTCTGGCCGGGTCCAGACCCTCTACTGCTCCCTCCAAAACCTCCAGACCTGACCTCCTGGAGGCTTCCAGGCTCAGCTCTGCTGACAGGTAGGTTCTGAGGGCTCGGCTCAGACTGGAGTGGTACCCTAGGTCACAACACTGAGAACCAGGAGTAAACAGCAGAAGGGGAAGCGGTGAAGAAGAATGTTTTTTTATTTTTTTTATTTTTGTCGTTACTGTAATTTTTGAGAAGTTTTGTTTACTAACATCTATGATGTCAGGCAGGTCGTGGATGTAGTATTTGAAGACGGAGGCGTTTGTAGCCTCCAGCGTCAGCAGATACTCGTTCCTGGATTTGAGAGCCTTCAGTTTGTTCTCTGAGTATTTTGACTTCCTCTAATGGGGAAACAGACAGCATTAACCATCAGCTACGTCCTTCATCTCTAACACCATTATGGGGGTCCTCGACAGGAGTAGCAGATACTGGAGTAGCAGATACTGGTACAGAGGCCTAGAGTGCCCTCTAGCGGCTGTGAGTGTGAAAATACCAAACACTTTACATATTTAATATATATAAGTCGCACCTGAGTATAAGTCGCAAACCCAGTCAAAGGATAAAAAAAAAATTGCGACTTATAATCTGGATAATACGGTACACCTGGGAGCCATAATGAAGGACAAAAAGTTTCAAATAAACAACTCAAACAAAAGAAACCGAATGCAGCACAAGCCAAAACAAAGCAGTCTTCCACGGTGTAGTGGCAACGTGTGAGAACTTACTCATCTGGGCGAGTTATAACGGCATATGTCGGAATGTGGGAACAATATTTTCTCAATAAATTTATGGGGGCTGTCGTCGTAACCATAAAATGTTACAGGTCGAGGACGTCGTAAACCGAGGACCCCCGTGTATCTCTTTGGCTTCGGAGATAACACCATCACCTTCTCTCTCATCTTCTCCATCTTGCGGGCAGCGTTACGTCTCTGGTGACGTTCTTCTATTCGCAGTCCGAACACGGGCTCCGCCCCTCCTCCTGTGCCCGACCCGCCCTTCACTCGACCCTCTTGTCGTTCAGCCTCCCTCAGCTTGGTCTCAGCATTCATCATCTCAGCGTGGTACATGTGGTATGTCTTCATCACCTGAGAGATGTCACGGGCTCCAGTTAGAAACAACAAATCCCAAACTAATTCAGGAAGTATTCTGTCGTACTCACCGTGTAGAGCTCGTTCAGGAGCTTCATCAGATCCTCCTGAAGCTGAAAGATAATTTCTTTGCTCTGATGGAGGCACAACGAGAGGTGAACATCATCAGCATAGAAGAAGACAGAACAATTGGTTAGTATTAAAAACGCTGTCATCGAGATGGGTAAATGCCTATAAACTTTGCTATTTCTTTATTATCAGGCCTGACCTTCAGTTAAGTGTAATAATCATGACAGAATCGTATCAGGGACAAGAAAATCACCAGTGAGTCATATGTGAGTTTTGAGTCAAGTGTATCATCAGAGGAACATGGTTAATGTTCTTACCCTCTTCAGAAGACGAGCCGAGTCTTCACTGATGTGTGTGAGACGAGTGATAACGTTGTTCAGGTAAAGATCACTGAGGGTCGCATGGTCTTTACTCTCCCTCCTCACCTGCAGGGACGACAAGTCTTAAAATAACAACAATCTCTCATAGCCTCTCTCTCTCTCTCTCTCTCTCTCTCTCTCTCTCTCTATATATATATATATATATATTTGTAAACTCCTAACCTCTTGGCCTGGGGCCACTACTACCATGTTATCTTGGCCACATAAGTTATCGAACATTAGAAATAAACCATGTATATTTCTTTTACCAGTTGTTTATTTTCATGAGTATTCACATTACTTTTGATATAAAAAATGAAATAATCACGTTTGATATCAATAATTATATAATAAAATTAAATAATCACATTTGATATCAATGATCATATTAAAAAAAAAACATGTGATGCTAAGTTAGCAGCCAATAACATTACATTATTACAGATTACTTTATTCAGATTAAGAAAGTTGGATGAACAGGAACCAATTTTCTTTTAGTCCCTCATTCCAGTCACCAAGCACTTTATTTTGAAAGTTGCTGAAGTGAAGAGAAACCCGTGACTGAGTGCAGTTTGTGGGTGTTTCATAATTATTTCATATAGAAGAGTGTGATTGGAAAGTCAGACAAAACTTAATCTATCAAATACCAAACATTAAATATATATAATATATTAAATAAATATACTCAAATATTTAATATTTTGTCAAATATTCAGTTCCATTCCGACTACTACTTAGTAACACAAACTAACCAAACGAGGCAACATTTAATCAACACCTCCTTGTCAAATATTCAGTTCCATTCCGACTTTACTTAGTAACACAAACTAATTCCTCATCCTCTAATTCCTTTGTGACCTAAAATCACTGGTTTTCTCTATGGAATTTGGTATAGGGACAACAAGTAATGTCTAATAGTAAAATAAATCAAATGTAGCAGGAAACATACTCAGATTAAGTAAAAACTGCTTTCCAAACGTATTATCCTGATTGTAGTAGTAAAGAAAAACAAACAATTGACATCCAGCCCAGACCAGATTTGGTGGGCTACACTGCTTTAGGAATCTAAACTAACCTGGTTTAGCAAGCAGGTACCAGCAGTTGACAGGAGACAGAAGGTTCTGGTCTTTTCTGGAAGGGAAGAAGAAAAAAAAGAGAATGAAAAGAAATTCAGACCAACATGAACACGAGAAAAGGCGTGTCTTGTAATAGGCTTACTTGTACTGTTGATGGTCTTTGGTGCTGCGCGTCTTGGCCATGAATCTCTCGGCCAACTTTTCTAGGTTTCTGGAATAATCCGTCTCGATCTCCGCTTTCTTTCGGAAGAAGTCCTGCAGGTCCTGGAGCAGCTGAACCCGCATCTCTGTCTGCTGCTCCAGACAACGCTGCTGCTCCACCAGCTGCAAGCGTACATCTGTGAACGCATGACAAACAGCTCACCATTAACACAGTGGTAACATCATGATCTAGGACATAAAAACATCAGAAGAGTCTGACTTACACCTGGGAGCCAAAATGAAGGGCAAAAAGATCCCCCCAAAAAACCAAAACAACACAAACGAAAGAAAGTGAATGTAGAGCTATCCAGAGTATGGCGTACAATGTACACAAAAGCACAGCATGATGATGTATTTGTCCACTCAGCAGCTAGTTCCTGTGCTAAATTTGCTATAACGCCTTACGTTAGAATGACAGAACAAGACTAAATACATTTATGGCAGATGGTGACATAACCATGAAAAAATGACCGTAGGACAAGGATGTTGTAAACCCAAGACCCTCTGTGAATGGTAGAACACTGAAAAAAAGTCACCTATGCTAACCTACGCTAGGATGCCTGAGAGTCATAATACAGAGCAAAAAGTTCACAAAAAAAAAAACCTACAAATAAAAGAAGGCGAATGTACCAAACCATATGTGGCGTACAACTGGTGAACGAAAACAAAACCGTCTTTTGCGTATAGCACCACGTGATGCCATGTTCCTCCGCGGGGCTCACCAATTAGCTTGTGGAAAATTTGCTTTAACGCCGTATGTCGAGATGGCGATGTGACCACGAAACTTCCAGCATCCCGCAACTTAAATGTGAACTGTTAGATGTTTACATTTATCTATATCTTTTTTCTCGTACATTTCCCGTCACATACAGCTGCAGGTATCTTTTTGGTACTCTGTCTTACTGTCATCTTGGTATGTGGCCAGCTTTTACACGATGACCTAATTTTTTCCCGAACCTCTTGCCAAGTTTTAAGGCAAATTAAAATGCAGCCTTTGTCAGTTTTTCCTGTCATTAAAAGAAAAACCCATCAGAGGATCATCTGGGGAAAGTCAAGGTCTCTGATAAACGTAGGAAATAATACATTCTTCCCAAGATTCTCTGCCGAACCAATTCCTTTTAAAACTGCTGATGTACACTGTCCATTATTCCACCAGGGGTCACCTTGGATGATATCTACACACAGACAGTCCTATAGTCAGCGTGGTTCTGCTGGTACTGTTTAAACGCAGAGAGAGAGTGAGAGAGAGAGAATAAGAGAGCAGTGAATGCACAGTGATAGCCACAACTCTCTCTCTCTCTCTCTCTCTCTCTCTCTCTCTCGTTTTTACATTTCGCACACACACATAGCACACATGCATGCACACGCTAATCCTTGGGGGTCTTTCTCCACTCCGCTACCTGTTGTCTTGGCAACAACCTACTGTGTGTGAACCATGTGACAATGTGAAGGTGAAGACAGGGAAGCACTGCAGGAACACACACACACAAACAAACACACTATTTTCTCGTCGTGTTTCATAAATTTCAGGACATTTTAGGACCTTTGGTGTCTCTGAAACAGTTATTGTGGGTGACAGAGACTGTATGTAGTGTGTGTGTGTGTGTGTGTGTGTGTGTGTGGTGCTCCTGGTATCAGTCTCATTTAAAATGGCTGATTTTTCATGTGGCTCTTCGGTTCATTCTACTGTATCTCCTGCCAATCAACAACATAAAACCATCTGTGACTCTGTCTCCATTTTTGTGCCTTGAACTGTGATTGGTTAAATGGCAGAACAGAAAATATCAGAGTCGGACTCCGGCTTTACATAGCTGTAGGGTTTTAATAAAAGAAATTGGCCAAAAACATCAAACATGACCTTCGACATGTCTTGACATGACTTGCATTAACATCACCCGACTCAACCCAACTTGACTCGACTCGACATGACTCAACATGTTTTGACTTGACCCAACCCAACCCGGCATGATTAGACTGGACTAGACATGACTAGACTTGACTAGACATGACGAGACTCGACCCGACATGAACATGACTAGACTCACATGACATGACTAGACGTGACCCAACATGACTAGACTTGACTTAACATGACTAGACTCAACTAGACATGACTAGACTCAACTAGACATGACTAGACGTGACCCAACATGACTAGACTTGACTTAACATGACTAGACTCAACTAGACATGACTAGACTCGACCGACATGACGTGACCCAACATGACTAGACTCACATGACATGATTAGACGTGACCAAACATGACTAGACTCAACTAGACATGACTAGACTCAACTAGACATGACTAGACTCGACCCGACATGACTAGACTCAAGTAGACATGACTAGACTCGACCCGACATGACTAGACTCAAGTAGACATGACTAGACTCGACCCGACATGACTAGACTCAAGTAGACATGACTAGACTCGACCCGACATGACTAGACTCCCTTGACATGACCTGAGCTGTTCAAAGACAACTGGTGCTAAGGAAACAGGACTAAAGCACATATGTTTGTATGTAAGTCTGTGCTTTGGTTGGATTCCTCTTAATAAACTCAATCAATGGACATGAAACCTGCACAGAATAATTAATAATGAAATAATGAAATTTTCTTTTTTTTTCAAGCCGATGCATAAGGAACTCCGATTACAATCCTCCCAAAACTGTTTGATTTCACAAGGTTCTAAGAAAAAACTGCTTGAAGGTTGATTTTTTTTGTACGCTTGAAGACTGAGAATAAAAGACCTTCACGCAAACCTCCTTGTCACACACAAAGACAATGACAGCGACACCAACTGTATCTGACTGTATGATCAGAGCAGGAGTCTGGGGGAACACTGACATAAAGAAAAGGAAATACGGTGAAGAAGACAATTTAACAAAGACAAAGGGCCTTGTATGTTCTAATCTCCCAGGTCTGATTTCTGGGAACATCTCTGCTTCTGATTCAACGCTGCTGCTGCCACTGGTGGTGGGAAGACGCAGGAAAAGGATGAGAAGCAGAAATGAGGTGACACCGAGGTGATGCTGTACCTCTGAAGGTCAAAGAGAGGGAAACGAGTAAAACCTTTTCAAGCTGATGCTATCCATTGTACCATGTGACAGTCTTTAGCCGTGACCTGTGATCTAGTCGGCCAACACATGTAGATTGACAGGGTCTGGAATGGAGTCGGTGCGATCCGATACTCAGCATCGGTATCGGCTCGATATCAGTCAACATTACAGGAAATAAAACACATTTAGTCCATTTGATCTGATACCTCATGATAGGCTGTGAATTCTTCACCTCAGAAATGAAGCGTGATCAGAGTGAGATGATGGTCAGCACACGTTTTAAGTACGAATGTGTTCCTTCTCACACTCACAGACTAAAGCTAACATGTCGTTAGCTAGGAAGTACTTTAAAGTAATCCGGTGAGGTGCCAGGGGGCGTGAGGGTCAATGGAATATGGGACGCTGGACATAAGTGTACCACTGCTGTAATGCTTGAACGATAACAAGCCTCCAGGCACTAGGGGGCAGCAACTCATACAGTGGTTTGTACAGATAAAAATATACACGTTATCAGGCTCTCAATATGATTTCGCAGGGGTGTGGGTTGGGAGTGGGCATGAAAACAATTCTGTCCCCAAGGGGGCGCATGATGGAAAATGATTAAGAACCACTGATCTAGTCAAACGTGTCCAGTTTAAAAACGCTAACAGCAAAACAGTTTTGTTTTTTTAAAGGCGTATCGTTAACATTAGCTGTTTTGAGTCGTGTCATGCTACGTTAGCAGCATGATGCTGGCTAACCCTAAAACATACAACCGTTGTATGGACAAGTGACATNCATGAGAGAAAATAATTGTGAATTATAATAATAATGTCATTATATCACCCACTGTGGGATTAAAAACTGTCATTTCTGTGACATTTTATATATATTTGAATCAGGTGAAGTTTTGGCTGTGGAGTCTGGGTGGAGGATTTTTTTTTTTTTGTCTATTGTCTCATTGTCCCCCTCCCATGGTCCTGCAGGTGAACAGATGTGAGGTCACTAATCACCTGTGTGCACACGCAGGCAGAAACAAGGGACGTACTGCAGCAACTTCAGTAGGAAACACTTCATCTCTGTCTGCCGTCTGTCTCTCCCTGCACTGCTCCTCTTTCTCCTCCTTCCCTCCAACTTCTCCTCCCTTCATCCACCCATTTGCACCGTCTCATCTGGACGCTCCTTGTCTCGCCAAGCCTGAGAAGGCTTAGCATGATGATGGGAAAGTCTGCCAGTGGTGCCTCGGGTTTTTAAACCGCATCATCACCACCACCACCACCATCATCATCATCATCATCATCATCATCATCATAAAGCCAGCTCACAAATGTGTGTCGTCAGCAGCAAAAGTGCTACCTATTCTAAAAAGGCTCACCTCATCTTAGATCAGCCGGAGGATGAGCACAGAAACCCCGCCTCCCCCTGAAACATCATTGAGGAAGAGGAGGAGGAGGAGGAGGAGGAGCTCCATCACCTCCTGTGTATACATTCCACACCACCTTCCAAGCCTCGTCCAATCAGCATCCAGAGACGGAGGCAGACTTTCAGAGCTCATAGTTACAGCAGCAGATCCATAGGTTTGGAGCAGCGGGGGCAGAGAGGCAGACCTGAGCCACTTCAGCATCCAGGGAGGGAAGGGAAGGGAAACCCACACACACACACACACACACACACACACACACACACACACACACATAATCCTCACTTTGGTCTTTGTCTCCCAGGAATTAGATCAAATAAAAATGTCCTCAACCGTCACTGTAACCAGAAGGTGATGATTCTATTATTCTTTTTAAATATCTCGGGGGAATTTGATTGACTCCGTTTGGTAAATGTAACTACAATGTTACACATAGGTCTCAAGACGTTTGGACATATTTTTTAATTTGAGACTTTTCACAGAAATTCCCCTTGAAACAGACACGGACACATTTAGCAAAGGTTTAGTCCTACCTTCTAAAAAGCTAGTTAGAACAGGCAACTTGACATGCACAACTGAAGGTCCCCGGCGGTGTGGACTCCTCAGTTCACATCCAATAAAGACAATTTCAAATATGTGACCAGAACAGTTTATGTATGAACTGTACGACTTGAAGGTTTCAAGCTTAGATTTAGCTTTTTTCCCCCATAAGAACAGCTAACAAGCAGAACAGTTTATGTATGAACTGTACGACCTGAGGGTTTCAAGCTTCTTCAGCTTCTTAGCTTTAGCTTTTTTTCCCCCACCTAAGAACAGCTAACAAGTCGTACTGTATCAAAATATCCAAGGTTGTCCCGCTGGCTGATAGCACATAGATAAACTACGGTGCAAAGTTACTATTCTATTTTCGGCTAATGTCTTTATTTCCAGTGGTTTAAAAATGTATGTGCGGCTGTGAAGTATAAAAATACTATGTAATACTAAAATGAATGGTGAAGAAAATTATATATGTACATATAAATATATATAAAATATATAGTGCATAAATAAATGTATATGAATGACATATGTACATGAACACATACATATATGCAAATATATGTACATATATAAACTGTGCAAATATATGTACATATATAAATACATGTAAATGATATATGTACATGAACACATGCATATATGCAAATATGTGTACACATAAATATATGTAAATTATATATGTGCATATATAAATGTATATAGATTATATGTACATAAATACATACATATATATGGATATAAATATACATATATAAGTAAATGGATGTAGCATAGGATAATGACTGTTCCTGAAGTAACGTTTTATGTTTCAGGTTTAATTGTGGTGTCTTTTTTATATCGTTTTTTTTTTTAATGTTTGTGAATTATTAGCCAATAATAATAAATACATACACAAAAAAACTGCACGAGCTCCTGTCAGCTTATTGTTATTCACTGAAGAAAGACAATACTTATGATGTCATTAATGACCTGAGATGTTTCTGAAATGTTTAGTAACCTCTTGTAGGTACTGTATGTCACACACACACACACACACACATACCATCACACACACACACTTCTGCTCCTCTTCATAGAGGAAACAAGCTCCTTTTAGGCGCTCAAAGTGGTAGCAGCAGCAATGGTGTGGGCGAACATGTGACGAGTAGAAAGTGTGAAGAGCCATGTGGCGAGAACACGGGCGAGATCCAACTCTGAGACTTGAACCCATTTCAGAGTGAGACTGAGTATCAGTGATGAAGGGTTAGACATTTTAAAATGTTTGCGTCTCGACGACGACGACGACGACGACAACGACGGCAGTGACAGTCTGAGGCGGAAGGGATAAAAGAATCCGAGTCAGAGTTTCATCAAAGGTCATTTGGCTGATGTGTCACGGTCAGGCACTGATGGTTACCATGACGATGGGAGGATGAAGAGGAGGAGGGGGGAGGAGGAGGAGAGGGGTGTCATCGCGAGCACTATTTCAGGACCAATGTGATTATCATCATCGCTGTCATCATCATGTGAACATGTGATAGCAGCAGGTCAGGTACTTGGTGAGGGGTGTAAGAACACATACCTGTACTCTCTCTCTCTTTCTCTCTCTCTCGCTCGATCTTTCACAAACACACACACACACAGATCAGGTGTTAAAATCTTACACCTGAAACACACATGAACCAGGAGGTCCTGCATCCTAATGCTCTTCTCCGATGATGCTGTAACTGCAGAGCCTCACAGCTTCATCCATTCCTAAACAGAACCCCATTAGTCGGTTCCTCTCAGCAGAACCGGGATTTCTTATTACAGCACTGCTGTTCTTCTGTGGATGATTAGGTTCTGCCTCCAGTGAACGCAGGGGTCTGCACTGATTTCCATGTGCTGCTTTAATTAACTGTAATATCTGTAACCCTTACACACACACACACACACACACATAAACACACACAATCTCTCAGTCTACCTCTCTCTCTCTCTCTCTCTCTCTCTTCATGAGTATAAACCACACACACATCCTTCAGGCGCCATGCAGCACTCAGGATGAACCCAGAAAATCCTGACGTCTCACGGTGGGGTGTCTCTCTAACGCACGAGGTCGCGCGCCCACACACAAACCCATAGAGGCAGGCGCGCGCGCGCACGCTCTCTCTCTCACACACACACACACACACACACATACACACACACGGTGACAGGTTTTTCCTCTTACCTTTCACTTGACTCTCATATTCCGCCAAAATTTCTTTGTCCTTCTTGCTCTTGTTGGAATCACACATGACGCTGCCGCCTCTGCCGCCTCTGCCGCTGCAGCGCAGGTGACGCGCCGCTCCCGCGTTCGCGACCACCGCCAGGTACACAGCAATTTAACACTCACGTCCGTCAATGCAGCGACGCCACGATGCTTCCGCGACACCGGCAATCATGCTGCTCACATCACACACGCACACAAACATACGCGTAAAAAAACCCTCCACACACACACGCACACATGCACACACACATGCACTGTGCCGCAGCGGCGGCAAGAATAGGAGACACAGCAGGAGGAGCAGCAGCAGCAGCAGCAGAAGGAGGAGTAGGAGGTGCGTGAAAAGTCACGCACATCCACTATGAGGAATCATCCACGAGTGATCGCCGACGTCGCTGCATCACCTGACGTCATCCTGGAAGAATGACAATCATAATTTATCTTAAATATATATGTTTTTTTTTTTTAATTGCAGCTTTGAAGTGGCGGGGGCCAAGCCGCGCTCACGTGCACCGGTCTGCAGGGAGGGCGGGAACAAAGGCCACGCCCACCTGGTGAAATGCAACGCACGCAACAGTTTCCACGTACGCGGATAGACACTTCGCCGTGCACGTGGAGATAATTGCATGGAGGTTTAGATGAAAAGTAAGCGGGAAAAAAGGGCGTGGTCCAACTGGATGGCGTGGAAACAGCTGAGGTGATTAAAAGCTACCGTGAGTCGCAGGTGTGCGTCAGCGCCAATTAAAAACGAGCTGAGGCTAACGTTCTCCATCCTCTATCACATGTGCTCTGAGGGCCATGGGTGTCAAACATACGGCCCGCGGGCCAAAATCGGCCCGGCATGGGTGTTCAATCCGGCCCACTTGAACTAAAATTTTGAAAGTAAAATCACGCACAAACACGTTATGTCCGTGATGGGTTTTTCTTCAAATGATAATTCAATGAACGTGAATATTTTCTAATATACTTAAACAAATACGTATTGATTTTGAGCTCTCCACCTTGTACAGTGCCGGCAACAAATACGTATTGATTTTGAGCTCTCCGCCTCGGGCCATTGTACAGTGCTGGCTCTAATCAAGTTTTCAACCTGTGCAAATTTTTAGTTGCCCAACCCCACCCCACCCTCGCATCCCAGTAAACTCCACTGCCAATGTACGTGCAAGTTATAATTGGCTCTTTCCTCCATTCAAGAAATATATTTCAGGAGTGACTCGGAGAGAACAGGGGCATGTGACCACATTGGGCCGAACAAATGTGTCACATGGTGTGAGTCGAACAACAAATATGAATCTGAAATATGAATCCAGACATAAAACATTAGAAAAATAGCACACAGAAACTGGAACAGCAATAAAAAAAAATTAAAAAACCAAACTATATTGATCCCATATTTGGAATATTCTTGTGTTAACAGCAGATCTGCTGTTAACAGGCTGCCCCCAGCAGGCACCAAGCATGTGGTTCCCCTGGGAATTGATTCCAGGACTCTCTGCTCTCCGAGGAAGGCGTGCTGACCCCTACACTATGGAACCTCCCATAATATAACATACATGCTAAGCCAGACCTGGGCACAAGGGGCCGCTGTGGCTGCAGGTTTTTCTTCCAACCGATCCCGAACACACTGACTGACCAATCAACTGTCTGAAGACTCATAGCAGTTGATTAATTAAGCCAAGTCAGGTGTGCTGCTGCTTGGTCGGAACAAAAACCTGCAGCCACAGCGGCCCCCTGTGGACATAACTGCCCACCCCTGTGCTAAGCTATGGATTATTACACTTAACACTGTGTACTTTAATAGTCACATTAACACATTTGATTGACTACTACAAGCAGTGAGTCAACTGAATTGAACAGAAGACAAATGAAAAAGAAAACTGCTGAAAATATTTAATCTATTCATACTTCTCTAAAGAATGTAAGATGGCTGTAATAACCATAACCCCTGCAGTTACATCAATAGACTGTTAAATCGGTATCTATTGATTAGTAAACCAACAATGCGAGGCCGAACACTACACTCTACTGGATACCTCATGTACTGCAACAGACAAAAAGATTTTTTCTGACATTGAGAGGTTTGTCTCGCTTTTCTTTCGTTTTTTTTTTCACCTAGGAAATCTGAGAATTTGGTTTGTTTGGACTTTATTGTCGTTGTTAACGCTTTCTTAGCCGAGGTCAGATAACCCGACTCTCCACCCAAAGCAGGTACAGTCTAAATGGCTGGAAGATGTGGGCCAAACCGCAAGGGAAGATTTGGAAAGTAGTATTATTGTTATTATTATCGTTATTGTAACCAGTTTTTGAGCTTGGTTAAGTATTGTTTATCAAACCGGATGTGTATTTTTTATTGTGAAGGAGAGGCCGGAAGTGTTGTGTATGGATCACTGCATTAAGTTAACGGAGAATTTGAAAGGTTCGCTTCTTCCCGCTGGTGACGTTCATCCGTGTCTTCGTTTTATTAATAACATTAAATATAACCGCACATAATACTCGGAAACATTATTTTTTTATCGTTACTATGTTATATTATTCATATTTTTATATTTACAAATATCGTTTACTTAAAAACAATACTATTTTTAGTATAGGAATAGTTTTCTGTTCTCCCATTTTTCTTTACCTTCTAGAGTCTAGACCATATGTGTCAAACTCAAGGCCCGGGGGCCAAATGCGGCCCGCCAGGCTGTTTTGTGTGGCCCACGGGAGCTTAAAAAGCATTCACTAAACTCTATATATTCTATACATGATCGATACAGTCTTCCATTTACAACTGGCCCTTTAAGGGGAATTGTATTGCTGATGTGGCCCCCTGGTGGAAATGAGTTTGACACCCCTGGTCTAGACCAAGGGTGTCAAACTCATTTTCACCAGGGTGCCCAAACCCCAGTCCGTGGACCAGTACCAGTCCATAAGTCATTTGGTTCCGGGCCGCAGTGGGACAGTGAAAAAATGTACTTAATTTTTACTAATGTACTTCATTCAAAGAAAATCCAGTCATTTCCATTTACTTCACTTACTTAAAGATAATCTGGCACTATTTTAAAATAATAGGTCACAGGCAACAAGTGGTACTGGCTGACCAGTGCTTGGAACCAAAAAGGTCAGGGACCACTGGTAAAGATGTAGCTACTCAATAACAGACGAATATATGTCTCTGCAATTGTTTATTATTTATTCAAGCTACAAATATTGTTCATTGTTTTCTAATAAACAAACATTTAATTTTATAGGTTAAAAAACTCTGCTGCATGAACTTTACTAAATGCTTTTAAAGCTCCCGCGGGCCACACAAAACGGCTTGGTGGGCCGCATTTGGCCCCCGGGCCTTGAGTTTGAGACATGTTCTAGACCAGAGGTGTTAAACTCATTTTGGCTCAGGGTCCACATACGGACTATGTAGCTGTGAAGTGGGCCGGACCAGTACAATCATAACATAAGATAATATAATTACCTTAAACAATAATAAGTACATGTTTATTCCCATCTTGTTTTCCTGCAAATAAGTACAAGTATATTAGAAAATATTCATACTTAATGAAATATCATTGTATGACTTTCGGTAGGGAAACATTCTCAGCTCAGCCTGCAGCCCTGCAGGCCCCAGCCTGTGTTTACCTATGCTGTAGTAATGCATCTGTCTGAGGAATGTTCCAGAAGGACACGTGGAACTCGGCGTCCAGCTCCACACCCTGAGAACTTCAGCTGTGGGCAGAGCAACAGATCATATCTGCCGTGTCCCCGGAGTTGCTAATGTATGGGATGTAATTATAAGGTCACAGTGCATTAGGTTGTCTGCAGCAGAGTAACAATGTCATTAAGGAGCTGAGCCTTAATTATTCTGTTTCTCCCACGGCATCCGCTTCTCTGAGGCTTATCTGAGGCCGCTCATGTAAACAGTACTGTACAAAAAGTTTGCGTCTAGTACAAACATGACCCGAACAGCGAGGAGGTGAGCGAACGGCAAAACCTTTCATCTTAAAGAATACTTAGTAGATATGAGAACATAAAGTTAAACTGAAACGGAAGTTAAACCAGCAGCACGTTATCCACAAATATCTTTAAATGTTAGGGCACATTTAGTTTAAAATTGAATAAAATAGCTCTCATATGGACACTAAATACCCTCAAAGATACTTCACACAGGTACAAAATACTCAGGTTAAGGAATACATCATTTCTGAGCCTGAAACAACCAAGCACTTGTGTGAGTTCAGCTGGTTTTTCTTTCTAGTATTTATGAAAATATCTTAAGGTTTACGAAAGCCTTCATAAAAATTCAGAGAGAAACATCTCCAGGCAATAACAAAACTTTCAAGGACGGTGAATAATTATCTGCCCTGGTTCAAACTCCCACCAGCTTTACTTTATTTTCACTGAAAACACTTTAAGACCGTTGCACTTTCTTTCTTTGTTTGTCAACGCGATCCAGTGTCAGTTTTATTAACGCAGCAGAATCTTTTTAGACCCAGGCTGTGTATTATACTCACAGGTGGGCAGAGTGGCCAAAAATTGTACTCAAGTAAAAGTACTGTTACTTCAGAATAATATTACTCAAGTAGAAGTAAAAAGTAGTCATCTAAATAAGAAGTAAGAGTAAAAAAGTACTTAAATAACTTAAAATAATCTTTAGGTAAATTCAAGTACTTCAATAAAAAATACAAATCAATGAGATTAAGCATGCTCACGTGAGGAGTCTGCGCGGCAAGGGCTACGTTTTATTGGTTAAACACAGTCTTGCGGTAGAGCCTTGGGTGGAAGTCTCTCTCTCTCTAACAACATAAAAGTAACGAGCTCAGAATAGCCTAATGTAGCGGAGTAAGCGTAGTGTTTGTAGTGTTTCTTCTTTATAAATCTACTCAAGTAAAAGTAAAAAGTATAGTGATTTAAAACTACAAGCACTTTATTTTGAAAAACGTACTCAAGTAAATGTAACTCGTTACTACCCTCCTCAGATACTCTATAATGATCAGTCACTGATGTAGATTTTCAAGGATTAGTCAGTTAATGGCCAAATGTCTCATCTACTGAATAATACAGACTCGTTTACATTGGTTTTAAATGGATCAGTTGTCTAACACCCGATTTTATATCAAATCGAACTCTTCAGGCGGCTTGGTACTGCAACGTTCAAACAGCGGCTAATATATCCAGACGTTATTCCCCTGAGGAAAACGATTGCAAACAACCGAGGAAAATGTTATCATCACCGTGTTTGGGCGTCAACACCGCTGCTACGTTTTATCGGGACCGCAGTAAAAAAAGCAAAGGGCATGAGCTAAAGTTAGCCACGAGGTGGCACTCTCTGGAAAGTCGTGATGCCATCTGTGGTGTGTTTTACAATGGTACTGACCGTTTTTCACTTCATACGTGACCCTGCCACAACTAAGACAACTGCAAGACTACGCTACAGCAACCCCAGCGTAGTCCAGTCCAGTCCACTGTGTTTTCAGTGACCTGTCAATAAATGGTGTTGACGTAAAGAAAATATTAAAAAAAAAAATGGCTATAAATATTGAAAAAATGACAACAAAACAGCAGATGCAGAAAATTTGTCCTGGGGGAAACCTTCGCCTCCTTGTCATAAATCAACAGCTGCTAAATAATACATTTGTTTCTTTGTTATAAACGAGCTTCCCAGTTTTACAGGACAAACAGACCTGAGCCTTAAAACACAGATCGCAGTTCAAAATAAATCATCGTTTTTTATTCTGACAAGTCGATCACATTATGAATGTTTTTTTGTTTTTTTTTTACCATCTCACATGTTGTTAGATGTTTCTGTTGTTAGGACAAGTGAGTGGTTTTCAACGTCTGTTTTTTTTTTTTTTGTACATATTTGTGTGTCGGCGTACATGATTACCGACGTTCAATTTATCAACCACATCTTGTTTTCTGTAACTCTGTGCCTCATCTTTCTAAACAGGCAGCCGCTCTTATGCAGGCCCCTGAGGGGAAAGCATAAAAATGATTCATTTCACACAAACATAATTAGTGAAGC